CACACCTGTAATCCCAGCACTTTGGGAGGCCGAGGCAGGTGGATCGTGAGGTGAAGAGATCAAGACCATCCTGGCCAATGTGGTGAAACCCCCATCTCTACTAAAAATGTAAACATTAGCCGGGGATGGTGGTGTGCACCTATAGTCCCAGCTACTCGGGAGGCTGAGGCAGAAGGATCGCTTGAATCTGGGAGGTGGAGGTTATAGTGAGCCGAGATTGTGCCACTGAGCTCCAGCCTGGGCGACAGAGTGAGACTCTGTATCAAAAAACAAAACAAAACACAAAGAAGAAGAGGAGGCTCATGACTGTCATACTGCTCCGAGATTTGCTAGAACAGCAATTGTGTGTCATTTCAGTGGGAGCATGTCAGTCATCTTTTCGTGGCCCCAGCCTCTTAGGAGCCCCCCAGACCCCTGCCAGCCAGAGGCACTGAAGGAACATAGAAACATCTGAGAGATGGCAAGAACTGACTGTGGGCACCACCAGCGATGGCTGGTAGCCTGAAACAGGTGGCCCAAGGTAGGGTGGGAGCGTTTTTCTCTCCACCTGGCCAGACACGAGCTCTTGCTGGAGCCTGGGGAGCAGGCAGCACTGGACCCTGTGGTGAAGGCGGAGGTTCCTAAGCTCAGTGGGGACAGGCCTTGACCTGACCTCTGGAGGGTGACCAGTCCCTGCTGCTCCTGTCCCGGATTGGTGGGCTCTGTTTTCATGGTCCGTGAGCAGGGGACAGGGTTCGGTTCTGTGGACACCCTCCTCGTTTATCTCCCTGCCCTCGTGGCCTGTGAGCAGAGGACAGGACTCAGTTCCGTGGACACTCTCCTGGTTTCTCTCCCTGCCCTCGTGGCCTGTAAGCAGAGGACAGGACTCAGTTCCGTGGACACTCTCCTGGTTTCTCTCCCTGCCCTCGTGGCCTGTAAGTAGAGGACAGGACTCAGTTCCGTGGACACTCTCCTGGTTTCTCTCCCTGCCCTTGTGGCCTGTAAGTAGAGGATAGGACTCAGTTCCATGGACACTCTCCTGGTTTTCTCTCCTGACCTCCAGCAGCACATGGTTTCATCAGTGAGACAGTGCCCACTCATCCTTCAAAACCTCCCACTGGGCAGCTGAGCACCCCAAGCAGGGGCCTCTGGATGAGCTGAGAGCAATGTTTCAGGAACAGGAAGTCGGTGACAGAGCAGGATGGTGTGAGGTGCAAGCTCGGGAGGACCGAGGGCTCGAGACGACTCCAGGGCTGAGAGAGATGATGAGCCCCCACTTCTAGGGATCCCGAGCACAAAAGCAGAGAGAGGGTCCCAGTCCTGGTTGGGGGCATCTGTGGACTGAATGTTTATATCACCCCAGAAATTCCAATGTTGAAGCCCTTACCCCGATGTCATATTTGGAGGTGGGAATGTTGGGAGGCAATTAGATGAGGTCCTAACGATGGAAGCCTTGTGATGGGATTGGCATCCTTATTGGACAAGGAGGCGGCGGCCAGGCCTCACTCTACCCTGGGAGGATACAGCAAGAAGCTGCCAACTGCACACCAGGAAGAGCCCTCCCCAGAACCCACCTGGGGCCTTCAGGCCTCTGCAGCTGTGATAAACAAGCGGTGTGGCTTCAGCCACTCGGTATATGGCATTTTTGTCACAGCAGCCTGAGCTGACTAAGATGGGCAGAAGCTGTCCCCTCCCCCTTGGCTGTGTCTGTAACGGAGGGCAGCCCCAGGGAGAGGCCAGGCTGGGCTGCTGGGCTTCCTGCTGACAGCTGGACACCTCTCTCCTCCCTCCTGGGAGACAGCACGGGGGGTGCTGGGCCAGACTCCCCAGCCTGGGCTGATGCTCCTAGAGCCAGCTTCAGGGACCCCACGACCCCAACAAAGCTTTGTCCCATGGCCAGCCCCGGCACCCTCTCTGCCCATTCCTTTGAGAGTCATCAGCCACATCCCCAGGGACCCACCTGAGCAGAAGCAGCTCTCTGGAGAGCTGTGCACACCAGCCTGGCACCACAGCAGGGAGGGTGTGACCGAGTTTCCTGAGGTCTGGACCAAGGCCCTGCTTTACCACTAGTGAGCTGTGTGACTCAGGCAGCTGGAGCCATCTCTGAGCCTTGGTTTCTTTGTATAGTGGGGATCGTAACACCTGCCTCCTTCACACTCTGTGGCCTGGGCTGTGGCACCTGGTCCCATAACTGCTCACCAAATGAGCCGTGGGGGTTTGATTCCCTCCTGTTCCTACACCCTCCTCTCCCTCAGCAGCCTGCGTGGGGCAGAGCGCTCTGGGTGTTTATGAGGTGAGCTGCCCTCAACCTACATGTGTGTGGAGGGTGCAGAAGGAAAAGCTCACATCGCTGGGGGCCACGCTCATTTCCACCTATGCGCCATGTCCACAGGGATGGTGGGGATTTGCGAGGAAAGCAGAGCTAACCAGCAATGGCACTTCCTTTCTCTCTCCTTTGCCCACATTGTGTTTCTGGAGCCTGCCTCATGGGCAGACGGGGACCCTGTTGTCGAGGTAGAAGGATTGAGAGCAAATGGTGGGAGGGGTGGAGAGAGGCAGCTCTCTTGGGGAAGGGGAGGGTCACCAGACTGCGTGAGGGATGGTGGCCTAGGGCTCCAGGGGGACAGGCTACTGGTACCTGGAGAGGCTGGAAGTCAGCCTAGCAACGATCCAAACCCAAGACAGACACAAGGATTGCCAAGTGCTCCCACTGCTTTTCGAGGGTCCATGAGAGCTTGGGAAGCAGCAGGCCAACAGTGAGGAGTGTGGACAGCTCAGGGGACCCTCTGCAGATGTGCTGGGCCTCAGCTTGGGAAGCAGCAGGCCAGCAGTGAGGAGTATAGATGACTCAGGGGACCCTCTGCAGATGTGCTGGGTTTCAGAGAGCTTGGGAAGCAGCAAGCCAACAGTGTGGAGTGTGGACGACTCAGGGGACCCTCTGCAGATGTGCTGGGCTTCAGAGAGCTTGGGAAGCAGCAAGCCAACAGTGAGGAGTGTGGACAACTCAGGGGACCCTCTGCAGATGTGCTGGGCCTCAGAGAGCTTGGGAGGCAGCAGGCCAGCAGTGAGGAGTGTAGACGGCCCAGGGGACCCTCTGCAGATGTGCTGGGCCATCAGAGACCCCAAGCCTAGGACCTTCCTGAGAGCCGGAAAGGGGCCCTAGTTGTGGCTGATTTTCCTGCCAACCCAGAGGGACAGGAGCTTGGAGCAGATTGTATTTTATTCAGAGAAATAAAAGTGAGGTGACATTTCTCATATTGGTGGATTGGTTGGTAGCAAATCCATCCCCCCATCCCCCAGAATGTATCATAGCTTCCCTCCCCTGTGAGCTTGCTCCTCCCACCCCAGGAGCACTGAGCTCAGTCACCTAATCAGGCCAGTGAGACATGCTTTGGGAAGCCAAGTTGGTGACATTTTCCTCTCATGGAGAGGTGTGCTCCTTGCTCAGTTGGCAGCCCGCGAAAAGGCCAAGCCACAGATCCAGGCTTTCCTTGGCAGGGGGCTGCAGAGAGCCCCCACCCGTGCAGGGACCAGGTGGCTTCCATGTGGCAGAAAGATGGATGAGCTGGGGCAAGGGTCCTGAGGAGTCGCCAGCTATCACTGAATCAGACTCTCCCAGGTTTGCCTGGAGCCAGTCTCAGCCCCAGCAGTCCGCCTCTGCCTCGCAGCATGCTGCTTCTGGCCTTTCATACCTCTGCTTGTTGCTGTGCATTTAGGGGAAGGAAGGTAAGTACAGTCATGCATCACATAACGACATTGCGCTCAGCTAATGTGGTCCCCTGCCATTCTAACACCAGGGTTTTACTGTACCATTTCTATGATATATTTAGAGACAGAAATACTTTCTGTTGTTACAGTTGCCTTCAGCATTCGGTACAGTAACATGTCGTACAGGGCTGTAGCCTGGGAAGCAGAGTATGCCAGCTAGCCTAGTGCAGCCAGCTATACCACCGAGGTTCGTGTAAGTGCAGATACCCTACATGGTGTTTGCACAGCGATTTAGTCACCTCACAAGGCATTTTCTCGAGACATATTCTTGTTTTTAAGCGACAGTAATTGTAAGTTATGAGTTTAAAGCAAAGCCCCTTTCCAGCTCCCAGAAGCTCCTGGGCTTGGGGTCTGATGGCCCAGCACACCAGCGGACTGTAGAATCCCGATTCTCGCTATTTCTGTGTCCAGAGAACATGATAAAATGTCTCTAGAATCAGACCTGAATGCAGTACATGCTTGCCATGTGAACCTGAGCAAATCCTCAAACTCTGCCAAGCCCCAGGTTCCCCACCTATAAAATGGGCCTCAAGTTTATGGAATGGGGGTGCGAGGATCATTAAATGGAGCTTGGCAGATAGTAGGTGCCTTGAGTTTATGGAACGGGGTACGGGGATCATTAAATGGAGCCTGGCATAAAGGAAGTGCCTCAGGTTTATGGAACAGGGGTGCGGGGATCATTAAATGGGGCTTGGCGTAAAGGAAGTCCTCAGGTTGCTAGCAGCATCTCTCACGAGTCTAATGTCGGATGCACAGGTGGGCTCTGGGTATGCTTATGTGCAAATGTGTGTCTCTTTGTTGAATCGCATTATTTCCTGCCCCATTTCCAGGTAGCACCACGATCTGCTCGTGGAGACCAGATCACAGGCTGCTGTGTTTGCCTGGACCCGCCCCTGGCGCTGGGCGTTTGGGCTATTTCCAGTTTTTTGCTGTTGAAAATGATGCCGTTGTCAATGTCAGCAAGCTTAGTTTTCTGCCCAATTCTAACAGAACCTAACTGTGGAGGGAATCTGTGGATGGGGCCAGCCATCCACAGCCAACTAAGTGTTTTGGGATTATCTGTGCCTTTGGGGCGATTGGTTCCTTCTGTCCTGAAGCACGAGCCATTCCTTGGAGATGCCAAGTGTCCCTCAGATGCAGTGGACGAAGCCCCTCGGTCCACTGGGCTTGGGGTCTGATGGCCCAGCACACCAGCTGCAGCCGGAGGAGGAGGCAGCTGCAGTCTTTACAACCCTGTGTCCTCTCTCTTGTAGAAAGTCTGCACCAAGTGCGGGATCGAGGCCTCCCCTGGCCAGAAGCGGCCACTGTGGCTGTGTAAGATCTGCAGTGAGCAAAGAGAGGTAGGGCGTCCTGGCGGACGGGAGGGGCGATGGGCGGGGCCGGGTGCTCCTGGAGGGGATGGGCGGACGGTCACTGGGAGGGGTGTCTCAGGAGGGCACGAAGGGCTGAGTACTGGGGAGGAAACACGGAGCCTCCGCGCACGGGTGGCCCTTCTAGCTGGGAGAGGCTGAGGCTTCAGTGGGAAGCGCCTCGCACGGAGTGTGTGCAGCGGTTACACGGTCACAGTCGCAGCTACCCAGGGTGAGTGCTGGCCGTGGGGCCTGGCCCTGCGGTAAGTTCCCTGCTGCGTGAATCCGTTTCATCCCTACACGGCCCCAGTGGTGTTCCTCCTCCCCCTTTCCCTGATGGGGAGATAAAGATACACGAGGCTGAATAATCAGCGAGCCCCGAGCCAGTTAGTGGGGGAGCTGGAAACAGAAGGGGCGCGAGCACCACTGAGGTCACCTGTCGAGGTGCAAGAGCAGCTGAGCTCTGCCTTCACGATGTGAGTGCCGCGGATGTCTGCAGTCACAACGCGAGCGCCCCGGAGCTCTGCCATCACGGTGCCGCCCCAAAGCCCCTTCGACTGCTAAGCTGCTACGATTCTAGTTCCAGCCCCGTTTGAGGGGAGGAAATCGGGGCTCTGCAGGGACTCCGAGGCAGTAGCAGAGGGGCCGGACAGTCAGACCGAGTGGGAACGGAGCGGGAACAGTTTCAGGGAAGTGCCCTGGGGAGGCGGTCGTCTGCTCTTCAGACAGGGATTTATTAACTTTTTACATCTCGCTGGCCACTTGGGATGTGCTTATCATCTGCGGGTAAGCAGACAGCTTCAGTTCTGGAAAACTCAGCCGTGACGTGCCATTCCCTGGCCCCGGAAATCCCGCCGGGGCATTCGGAGCCCTAACCACCCTCCGCAGCCCCAGCTGCTCTCGTTCGTGTCTTCAGGTCCCGCCATGCTTCCTGCGTGAATTCCTCGGTTCTGCCTTCCACCTCACTCAGTCTTTCCTTGAGGTCCCCTCCCCCGGGGTTGTGGGTCCTCTTTCTTAGGGTTAGTTTTCGTCGGATGTTTTGGTATTTTAGTTTATGCACTCAACCTGTGTGATGGTCCGTTTCTCTCTCCTTCCCACCCAGCTCTTCTGGCCGAATGGTTTTGCAGCTGCCTCCACCTGGGCCCTGGGCCGCTGGGTTTGTGGTGAGCTGCCCATCCGTGGTGATAACGGGGTTATTACCAGATCCTCGTCCCAGCTGTGACAGCTTGGCCAGGCCCTGCAGCTGCCGCCTTGCTTTCCTCTGAGCTCATGTCCTTGTACCTGCTCTAGTCTTCGGGCGGGAGCCTGTTGTTTTCTTTCCCAGGTGGAAAATCCCCTCACCAGCCTGATCTTAGTGACTCTGCTCTGGCCCCTCACCTCCCAAGGGACACTTTTAGTCCCCGAACCCTGGAAGACCAGTCTCCCAGCTGCCTCTCTCTGCTTCTGGACCCAGAGCTCTGCAGGCTGTGGCTTCACCCCTCTAAATGGCAAATACTTTGAATTTCTGATCCATTGAGATATAGATCTTGTTTTTGCACACATTTACTTGCTGCTGCTGCTGTTAAAATATTTTCCTCTATTACAGCTTTATCTTTGGAATAGGAAAAGCTGCAGGTAGGGCCTCGAAGTGTGTGCTAGCATTGTGTCTTACTGGGAGTCCCTGACTCCTCTTCTCCAGATGGAGCTAGTAATACCCACTTCACAGAGGTGCTGTGAGAATTCAGTACGATTGCTAAAGTGGGCAGAGTGTCCAGTGAAGAGTAGATGTCCATAACTGTTCGAGGCCTCCTTTCCTCCCCTGTGGGACATCTCCCCTTTGAACTTGGGGTCCTTCTAATCTCCGGGGGACCCCTTTGAAGTTGCAGATGTCCATGGAAAAGGAAATTCCTTAGAACGTTATCTTGTGCGGAGACAGTGGGATGAAATGATGGTCATAGCTGAGCTGTGGGAGGGCAGAAGTGGAGGAGCTTTGAAGGAAAAGAAGGTGAACGGAAGGAAAGACAAATTCAGCAAACTTAATGATTTAGTCGGGGGCTGCTCCCTCACCACGAGTCACCCTCACACTCCTTAGCAGTCTCGAGACCCCACCAGCCTGTCCTAATCTCCAGCGCACTGCAGTGCCCAGAAAAGACCAAAATGGCTTAGGATGGATTTTCTTATCTTTCCTAAGGCAGAGAATATGAGGCTGTGCGTTACACTATCACCTTGTCCTTGAAGTTTTAGAGGCTAAAACTTACCCTCTAAAGGATCAAGAATGTTCCCCTCTGCAGCACCAGTGTAACAGTGGGCATTTGTTAGGAACGGATGGGGCCGGGAGCACAGTCATGGTATCTGAGCCTGGGTACTATGTGCTGGATATTTCCGTCTGCATTTGGGGTGTAGGAAGGCTCGCGGGTTTCCTAGTGCCCTTTCTTCTTAGGAAAATGTCTAATCATAATGAAGAGGTAACTAACTGGAAAGGCCATTTAAAATGTCAGATTTTAAGCTGGTTCTGAGTCTGTGATAAAAGTTCGGAGTTCTGTCTCCCCGCAAAAGCCAGATCCTGATGGGAGAACCTGGGTTTTCTGATGAAAGCTCTTGTAGCACTCTGCCCAAGCCCTCTTATCTTCCTTTCCCCTCGATGCTTCACTTCCATCATCTCTGGCTGTAATTGTAAGTACTTTTTCTGGAGTGAGTCGAGTGCTGGTGAGACATTCCTGAGGCTGTCAGGGGGATATTGCTGCCTGTTGTATGCACTTTCACCCAGTGGCAATGTGAGTCTCAGCCCCTCTGCTCTGGGGGAGCTTGCAGTCTAATATATTTATTCACTTAGGCAGCTGACAAATTTATTGAGCATCTCCAATATGCCAGGCAAAGTAGCTCTTCCAGTGGGAGACCACAAACCCAGTAAATTCTGCAATGTCACAAGTGGTGAGCAAGTCCTTAGGGCAAAGGGGAGAAGGGGTGCCGGGGACATTGCTATTTTATATGGGGATCAGGGAGGGGCTCACTGACAAATGACTTTTGAGTGGAGATCTGAAGCACCTTCTGTGGCTGTGTGGAGGGAAAGCATTCCAAGCAGGGGTAGAGCAGGTGCAAAGACCCTGAGGCAAATGTGTGCTCTTGGTAGATTGGAGGCACAGCTAGGAGACCAGTATGACTGGGGTTGAGTTGTGGCTGGGGAGAGGTTGTCAGATGTATTAGTCTGTTCTCAGGCTGCTAATCAAGATGTATCTGAGACTCGGTGATTATAAAGGGAAAAAGTTTAATGGACTCACAGTTCCACATGGCTGGGGAGGCTTCACAATCATGGCGAAATGTGAAAGGCACGTCTTCCATGGTGGCAGGCAAAGAAAGAATGAGACCAAGTGAAAGTTTCTCCTTATGAAACCAGCAGACCTCAGAGACTTACCCACTATCATGAGAACAGTCTGAGGGAACCCACCCCTGTGATTCAATTGTCTCCCACCAGGTCCCTCCCACAACACATGGGAATTATGGGAGAACAATTTAAGATGAGATTTGGGTGGGGACCCAGCCAAGCCGTATCAGCAGAGATATGATAGGGTGCTCTGACCGTGCTGGTGCTTTGAGACCGTTTGAAGGACTGTGTTGCTCAGGCTGTAGTGCAGTGGCATGATCTCAGCTCACTGCAACCTCTGTCTTCAGGGCTCAAGCAACCCTCCCACCTCAGCCTCCCAAATAGCTGGGACTACAGGCGGGCGCCACCACACCCAGCTAATTTTTTGTATTTTTGTAGAGGTGGGGTTTTGCCATTTTGCCCAGGCTGGTCTCAAACTACTGAGCTCAAGCAATCCACCTGCCCCTGTCTCCCAAAGTGCTGGAATTACAGATATGAGCCACCATACTTGGCCAGAATTTTTTATTTTTTTTGAGACAGAGTCTCACTCTGTTGCCCAGACTGGAGTGCAGTAGTGTGATCTCGGCTCACTGCAACCTCCGCCTCCCATGTTCAAGTGATTCTCCTTCCTCAGCCTCCCTGAGTGGGTGGGACTACAGGCATGCACCGCCACGCCCAGCAGATTTTTTGTATTTTTGTAGAGATGGGGTTTTGCCATGTTGCTCAGGCTGGTCTCAAACTCCTGAGCCCAAGCAATCTGCCTGCCCCAGCCTTCCAAAGTGCTGGGGTTACAGGCATGAGCCACCACACTTGGCCAAGACTCTGGCTTTATACTCAATAAGATGAGGCATAGAATCTGACCCCCGTCTTCTAAGGGTACTCTGACTGCTGTGCTGAGAGTGAATTGCAGACTATCTCGAGGCCAGCAACACAGTATTTTACTTTTCTTATTTAATATTGCCCAGATATATAAGTTCTTGTCTGTTGTTACCTTTGGAAGTTTTCATTTTTTTTAACATATATACATTTTTCTCTTTTCTGATTATAAAATTAATATGGATCATTGAGGAACATTTACAATTATAGACAAGCATAAAGAAATGCACACCTTCCAAAAATCTGGAATCCGAAACAACCACTGTTAATATTTAGTGTGTTCCATTTTTCCATGTTCTTTATGTTATTGAACCTATGTTCTTAAATGCATATTTTAAGTCTTTCCCAGTGTAATGAAGAACTCTTTGTAAACACCTCATTGGTATTCTGTCCTATAGATATTCTAATTGAGGACATTTAAATTGTTTCCATTTTTTCTCTTTTTACTGTGTGCATAGCTCTTTGTCTGCATTTTAGATTATATCCTCAGAATGGATTTCTAGAAGGAAAATGATTATTTTCTTGGAGACTCTTGAGTTGTTATTTTTATTTATTTAATAATTGGCTGGTGTATAATTTTATGTAATTAAAAAATGCACACCGATGATACATTCTGAGTCCTTGGCTATCTGATAATTTTTGCCTTTATATAAGAAAGACCACTTTACTGATAATGCAGTGAATCCGGGAGAAAAGGAAAATGTAACAGGAGAATTGGTTCCCAGAAAATGAGAGAGAATAGTGAAACTGTGAAAGAGCTGATACATGTGTTTTT